CTGAGATCTAGGTTGATTTTTTTCACTTTGGGCTCACTAATAGAGTGTTCCTCCATCACGTTCCTTCTGTTCTGAGAGCTGAACTGCTATTTAAGGTGGAGTGCAGCTGAGACAGGCCACAATCAGAAGGGTTTGGGATTTTGATGTGAACTCCAGTGGCAGCAGCTGGGCTGCAGAGCTGTCTCAGGGAGGGGCACAATCCTCTGTGGCATTTCCACACCTGTGTAAGGTAACTCTGGGGGCTGTGGCACTGTGAATGCATTTTCCCTGAGCTGCCCCAGTGCCCCATGTGGCCCCTGGGCACTGTGGCACTGTGAATGCATTTTCCCTGAGCTGCCCCCGTGCCCCATGTGGCCCCTGGGCACTGTGGCACTGTAAATGCATTTTCCCTGAGCTGCCCCCGTGCCCCATGTGGCTCCTGGGCACTGTGGCACTGTGAATGCATTTTCCCTGAGCTGCCCCCGTGCCCCATGTGGCTCCTGGGCACTGTGGCACTGTGAATGCATTTTCCCTGAGCTGCCCCAGTGCTCCAGGCGGCCCAGGGGCTGCTCTGCAGGACAGAGGTGTCCAGGCTGGAAAATCCCAGTTTGCATTCCCAACGCCAGAGCGCTGGGTTTGTTTGTGCAAACGGGGTGTGCTCGGTGGAGGGTGACCTGGTTAAGACTTTCTCCAGTCTAGACAACTTTAATTAAATGTTTATGCTCTGCTGGCTACTGAAGAAGAATAGCTGGACTTGAGAAAGCCCTTAATGTTATGATAGTCTCATCTGTTTGTCATGCTAGTTCAGGAAAATGCTTAATTGCTCAGAGTAGCAAGGAAGAGCTTCTTGTTCTTTCCCAAACAGGAAATAAACCACCCCATGAATTCGGAGTGGGTGGTTTATTCGCAGTTCAGAGCCTGTGAGGAGCAGAGGAAAACGTGGCTTTGGTTACACCTTCAGCACTGCAAAAATCACCTTATCTCGGGTTTTGGAGCTCTTCTTTGGTAGAATAAGACTGCCCTGCACAAAGGCAGGGTTTGTGTGCACAGCAGAAGCACTGGTGCCCTTCTGAAGGGTCCCTGCCGTGTTTCTGGGTGGAATGGCAGCACTGGGATGGGGTGGCATTAAACTCATCTGTCAAAGCAGCGAGGCCAGCTGGATGGAGATCCCAGTTCATATTTACAGACTTGTTAATGCTTGAGTCACTTAGAAACTCCCTCCACACTTATATGGAGCTTTCACTGAGTCACTTTTATAAACACTTCAGAAAAACAGAAGATTCCCTGTTCCTAAAAAAACCCCAAACCTGTAGTTTTTCCTGTGATTCATTAAACCAGGGCTGCCCCATTATCCAGGGCTGCTCTCCCATTTCCAGGGCTGCTCTTTTCCTTCCTCTCCTTTTTATTATTGTGCAAAGTTAGAACAATATCTGAAGCTGTGATCAAAGGTGCCCACGGCTCCTGACGGATATTGCTGATAGAGAGGGAGGGGTGTCTGTGAGTGTGAGCTGTTCCTCTGTGTGTGTTTACTGCAGGGTTAAAATCCAGCTCCAAACTGGACTCACAGGGTGAATGTCTCTAATTTGGTCATGGAGAAGATATTTTGGGTTGGGTTTTTTATGCCTCTTGTCAAGGTAATGCAAACACTTTTCCTTTTAAGACCAAAAATGAATTTTTTTAGTTTATTTCATGTTAATCACATGGCTGCATTTCAGAATGCAGGTGGGAGCAGCAAATCTCACCAGCTCTTTGAGTGAAGCCAAGTTGTGTTATTTAACTCTCAGTGTTGCAGTGTGGCTGTGCCAGCTGCTGTGGGGATGTTCCATGATTGTGTGACTCCTGCTCCAGGGAAGCGTTTGTGGTTTTGGTGCTGGGACATGACAAAAGAGCCATTCCAAGAGGCACCGGCTTCTGAGCTGTCTTTCATTTGAGCCAGGCCCATCTTTCCCATCTGAATGCCGTGCTTGTGCAGCCCCATCAGCAGTGGGTGATTTCTGACGTTTGCCATTGCTGTTCATGGGGGTTTCGTGCGAGGCTGGCGCGGCTGGCACGCAGAGCTCTGTCCATGCCATGCCCAGCTGCAGCAGCAGAGTCGGGGGTGTGTGGGCTCATCCAGGGCCCTGCAGCAGCTCCAGAGCTGCTGTGCTTGCCTGGCCATGGGAGATGTGCTGGCTGTGCCCTGCAGCCGGGAGCAGAAGGTGGAGCACACCTGGGCAGGTGCAGACAGCGTGGGTTTGGAGCAGGTGCCCCAGGGAAAACGTGTGTGCTGTGTGTGCTGTGTGTGCTGTGGCAGGAAAGGACATGCAGGGTCAGAGCCCTTGAGGAGGTCACTCATGCTAAGGTGTGTTCTAAGTTAAACACACTTTGATCAGGTCCTGGGGCTCCCTCCTGCATTTCAGTGCTGCAGAGGGAGCCCCATGTTCCTCACTGGGGACACACCAGTGCAGAGCAGCGGAGCCATTAACCCCGTTCCTCATTGGGGACACGCCAGTGCAGAGCAGCGGAGCCATTAACCCCACGTTCCTCACTGGGGACACGCCAGTGCAGAGCAGCGGAGCCATTAACCCCACGTTCCTCACTGGGGACACGCCAGTGCAGAGCAGCGGAGCCATTAACCCCACGTTCCTCATTGGGGACACGCCAGTGCAGAGCAGAGGAGCCATTAACCCCACGTTCCTCACTGGGGACACGCCAGTGCAGAGCAGCGGAGCCATTAACCCCACGTTCCTCACTGGGGACACGCCAGTGCAGAGCAGCGGAGCCATTAACCCCATGTTCCTCATTGGGGACACGCCAGTGCAGAGCAGAGGAGCCATTAACCCCACGTTCCTCACTGGGGACACGCCAGTGCAGAGCAGCGGAGCCATTAACCCCATGTTCCTCACTGGGGACACGCCAGTGCAGAGCAGAGGAGCCATTAACCCCACGTTCCTCACTGGGGACACGCCAGTGCAGAGCAGAGGAGCCATTAACCCCACGTTCCTCACTGGGGACACGCCAGTGCAGAGCAGCGGAGCCATTAACCCCACGTTCCTCACTGGGGACACGCCAGTGCAGAGCAGAGGAGCCATTAACCCCACGTTCCTCACTGGGGACACGCCAGTGCAGAGCAGCGGAGCCATTAACCCCACGTTCCTCACTGGGGACACGCCAGTGCAGAGCAGCGGAGCCATTAACCCCACGTTCCTCACTGGGGACACGCCAGTGCAGAGCAGCGGAGCCATTAACCCCACGTTCCTCACTGGGGACACGCCAGTGCAGAGCAGAGGAGCCATTAACCCCATGTTCCTCACTGGGGACACGCCAGTGCAGAGCAGCGGAGCCATTAACCCCACGTTCCTCACTGGGGACACGCCAGTGCAGAGCAGAGGAGCCATTAACCCCACGTTCCTCACTGGGGACACGCCAGTGCAGAGCAGCGGAGCCATTAACCCCGTTCCTCACTGGGGACACGCCAGTGCAGAGCAGCGGAGCCATTAACCCCACGTTCCTCACTGGGGACACGCCAGTGCAGAGCAGAGGAGCCATTAACCCCACGTTCCTCACTGGGGACACGCCAGTGCAGAGCAGCGGAGCCATTAACCCCACGTTCCTCACTGGGGACACACCAGTGCAGAGCAGCGGAGCCATTAACCCCACGTTCCTCACTGGGGACACGCCAGTGCAGAGCAGAGGAGCCATTAACCCCACGTTCCTCACTGGGGACACGCCAGTGCAGAGCAGCGGAGCCATTAACCCCACGTTCCTCATTGGGGACACGCCAGTGCAGAGCAGAGGAGCCATTAACCCCACGTTCCTCACTGGGGACACGCCAGTGCAGAGCAGCGGAGCCATTAACCCCACGTTCCTCACTGGGGACACGCCAGTGCAGAGCAGCGGAGCCATTAACCCCACGTTCCTCACTGGGGACACGCCAGTGCAGAGCAGCGGAGCCGTTTGCACCCTGCAGGAAACAGAAGCTGTGACCTGTCCTGGTACCAGTGCTCACAGAGAATCAGAGATGCCAGCTGCAGTCTCACATCCAGGTGTTGTTTCTGGCAGGTGCCTCAGCCCTGCTGGGCGTGGGTGGTGCTGTCAGCGACACACCGCTGTGGGGAATGGAACTCTGTCACAGCTTTTCACAAATGCTCAGGGTTCAGCCCAGAACCACTTCACTGGAAATCAGTTACTCAATTTCTCTGAGCCAGGACGCCTCTGAAGGCTCTTTTGAATCTACATCTGGTTTTCTGTGTCTTTTGTTGCATAAATATTTGGTTTCTTATCATGGTGGTGAAGACACAGATAATACTTTCATATCTGTCTATGGGATTTTGTTTTGTTTTCAGACCTTTACAGTCATCATTGAATAGGATAAGCCTATGGGTATCCTGACAAACAGATTTCCATGGAATGGCTGATTCATGGAGTGATTGGGGTTGGAAGAGAGCTCTGAGCTCTTCGAGTCCAGCCATTAAGCACTGCAAATGCAGAGCCTGGGATGTGTGAGTTGTCTTAATTCCTACAAGCACCAAAGGAAACCTCATCATTCCTGTCTTGAGAAACTAAACTCTGTTTAGTCTGGATGAGAGCATTAAAGATTTTATTAACAATTCACAGACTGATGGCTCTTGCGAGAGTGAAACTCTTTTAATTGCTCAACATGAAATTCTTTGATGGTGACACGGCCAAGGAAAGCACACAACTGCTTCTTTCACTGATGCGACAATAAATGATTAAATCTTTTGTTGAGCAAGAGTTGGTACTTACCTTCTTTCCTTTCACAGCTGTGGAATGCAAGCCATGGCCCTGGCAGGTAGCTGTGGTATGAGGATGTTTGTAGACTGGATATATTTGTGGAGGTGCTGTGTTTTTAAGCAAGATTTGTCTTTATTGCCTTTATTTGTAGCAGATAACAGGATATGAATCAGACTGTGTTAAATTCTCTTTAAATGGAAAACTGGGGAAAAGGAGTATTCGCTACAAAGCCCTGTTTCTTTAGCTATTTGAGTATATTAAAATGCAAATTTGTTTTTGTGTTGCAGGCCCAGCACAGGGACACATTCATCGAGGAACGCTATGGGAAATACAACATCAGTGATCCACTGATGGCTCTGCAGAGAGACTTTGAGACGCTGAAAGAGGGGAACCATGGTGAAAAGCAGCCAGTATGCTCCAATCCTTTGTCTATTTTGAAAGTGGTGATGAAGCACTGCAAGAATATGCAGGAGAGAATGTTATCCCAACTGGCTGCTGCAGAGAGCAGGCACAGAAAGGTAGGTGTTGCCTCAATTAGGATGTGCAGAGGTTACAGCTGCATTTTAATAACAAGTTAACTTCAGCAAAAACGCTTCAGTTCCTGAGGCTTGGTAACTGGAAGGACTCTGCACCTTTGTTTAAACTTCTCACTCCAGAGGATGCAGCTGGTGAGCTAATTAGTTGTAATTCCAGAATTTGAAATGTTTTTGTTGGGACACACCAAAGAGGATCCAGCTTACAGCTGGGAGGTGTAATGCTTCCCAAAATGCAGGAAAGGCTTTCTGGAACTTGGAATTCTCAGCAGAACTATCACTGTTCTGCCTGGGACTTGTTCTCTGTGGTTATTTAAGAGCTGCTGCCAGGGGAAGGCACCTCCTTGTGCTTCCCTGAGGAATATGGAGTGACCAAAAGTATTTTTCTTGCCATTTGGCCTCTTCAATGAAGCACCTGTTGTTCTTCAGACATACCTTTAATGTGTATTGACACCAATAAAGTGCTTGGTCATGTGTCAGGCCATGCTACCACAAAAATTGATGTCACTAGAAGTAAGAACAAGGCTGGACTTTGCTTTTCAGCCAAATATCCAACTAAGTCATACAGTAAAATCAGATATTGTATCACCTTTTCCTCTTCCCATCTACTTCAAGTATACGAGGATGTATACTTGATAATATTTAAGCATTATTTGGAAGCTTAAATTTCAGGAAGACTGAGGAGCTGCTAAATTCATGGTGAGCATGTGTTGGGAGAGCTTAGTTCTGGTGATGGGATAAGCAGAGCCTCTTGGGAAGTTTGTGTTCTGGCTTTTTTGTTAATAGCATTTCAATTATTCATGTAATTCAGTGTTAAGGCTGAAGGAGCTCCTTCACTGGGCCCTTATGGGAAGCAGTTTCACTTCAAGAGCTCATCTTGTTCTTAAGTGGAAGAACAAATTAATGTTCTTTAAAATAAACTTTGCACTGGAGCCCTCAGATGGCTGTGAGGCAGGGGGAGCAGCCAGTGGGGAATTGCTGCAGAGCCACAGAGGGTTCCTGCTCTGGAGCCCTGGGTCTGCTCGTGCTGCACCTCTGCTCCTGCTGGCCCTGCAGCGATGGCCCTGCCAGGAAACTCTGACCTGCAGGGGACAGGAGGCACCGACTGGAACACAGGAACTTCCAGCCGAACACGAGGAAAAACTGACTGACTCTGAGGGTGACAGAACCCTGGAACAGGCTGGGGAGGGCTCGTGGATTCTCCTTCCCTGCCAGCGTCAGAACCCTCCTGGGCTGATCTGTGCAGCCCTCTCCAGGGCAGGGGGGTGCACTGGGTGATCCCCAGAGATCCTTCTGGAATGAGGGCACCATTCATGGCATGGGCAGGGGGGTGCACTGGGTGATCCCCAGAGATCCTTCTGGAATGAGGGCACCATTCATGGCATGGGCAGGGGGGTGCACTGGGTGATCCCCAGAGATCCTTCTGGAATGAGGGCACCATTCATGGCATGGGCAGGGGGGTGCACTGGGTGACCTCCAGAGATCCTTCTAGAATGAGGGCACCATTCATGGCATGGGCAGGGGGGTGCACTGGGTGATCCCCAGAGATCCTTCTGGAATGAGGGCACCATTCATGGCATGGGCAGGGGGGTGCACTGGGTGATCCCCAGAGATCCCTTCCCGCCCCAGCTGTTCTGGAATGAGGGCACCATTCATAGCAGGAACCTCCCAAGGATATTGCACAGTCTGGGGGAAAAGCGTGCAATTTAGACATTTAATAGTAAAATACGTCCAGTGTGAGGTTTCCCTAACATCTTTCACGAACTGACTCAGTTTGACCAGATAGTAACACACATTGGACTTGTCCAAAAGCTGCTTCTCTGTGACTTGAGTTGAGCTCAGGTGTCTGGAGCTGCAGTGGTGGCTGTGCCATGGAGCTGCTGTGGTGGCTCTTCTGTGTCACTGGAGCTCCTGTGTCACTCTGGAGCTCCCGTGTCCCTCCAGAGCTGCCCTGGTGTCTGTCCCATGTCCTTCTGGAGCTCCCGTGTCCCTCCAGAGCTGCCCTGGTGTCTGTCTCATGTCCCTCTGGAGCTCCTGTGTCCCTCCAGAGCTGCCCTGGTGTCTGTCCCATGTCCTTCTGGAGCTCCCGTGTCCCTCCAGAGCTGCCCTGGTGTCTGTCTCATGTCCCTCTGGAGCTCCTGTGTCCCTCCAGAGCTGCCCTGGTGTCTGTCCCATGTCCTTCTGGAGCTCCCGTGTCACTCTGGAGCTGCCCTGGTGTCTGTCCCATGTCACTCTGGAGCTCCTGTGTCCCTCCAGAGCTGCCCTGGTGTCTGTCCCATGTCCCTCTGGAGCTCCTGTGTCACTCTGAAGCTGCCCTGGTGTCTGTCTCATGTCCTTCTGGAGCTCCCGTGTCACTCTGGAGCTGCCCTGGTGTCTGTCCCATGTCCCTCTGGAGCTCCTGTGTCACTCTGGAGCTGCCCTGGTGTCTGTCCCATGTCCCTCTGGAGCTCCCGTGTCCCTCCAGAGCTGCCCTGGTGTCTGTCCCATGTCCTTCTGGAGCTCCCGTGTCACTCTGGAGCTGCCCTGGTGTCTGTCTCATGTCCCTCTGGAGCTCCTGTGTCACTCTGGAGCTGCCCTGGTGTCTGTCCCATGTCCCTCTGGAGCTCCTGTGTCACTCTGAAGCTGCCCTGGTGTCTGTCCCATGTCCCTCTGGAGCTCCCGTGTCACTCTGGAGCTGCCCTGGTGTCTGTCCCATGTCCCTCTGGAGCTCCTGTGTCCCTCCGGAGCTGCCCTGGTGTCTGTCCCATGTCCCTCTGGAGCTCCTGTGTCCCTCCAGAGCTGCCCTGGTGTCTGTCTCATGTCCCTCTGGAGCTCCAGTGTCACTCTGGAGCTGCCCTGGTGTCTGTCTCATGTCCTTCTGGAGCTCCCGTGTCACTCTGGAGCTGCCCTGGTGTCTGTCTCATGTCCCTCTGGAGCTCCTGTGTCACTCTGGAGCTGCCCTGGTGTCTGTCCCATGTCCTTCTGGAGCTCCTGTGTCACTCTGGAGCTGCCCTGGTGTCTGTCCCATGTCCCTCTGGAGCTCCTGTGTCACTCTGGAGCTGCCCTGGTGTCTGTCCCATGTCCCTCTGGAGCTCCCGTGTCCCTCCAGAGCTGCCCTGGTGTCTCTCCCGTGTGCCCCCGGAGCTGTGCACAGCTCTGCTCCCTGCCTGCCCGCTGTCCCATGGAGCTGCTGTGGTTTCTCTTGTGTGTCACTCTGGCTCTCCCGTGTGCCCCCGAGCTGTGCTCAGCTCTGCTCCCTCCCTGCCTGCTGGGGCCCTGTCCCTGATGTCCCTGTGTTCGGGCAGGTGATCCTGGACCTGGAGGAGGAGCGGCAGCGGCACGCGCAGGACACGGCCGAGGGGGACGATGTCACCTACATGCTGGAGAAGGAGCGGGAGCGGCTCACCCAGCAGGTACCAGCAGGGCGGGCTGGGCTGGGAGAGCAGCACTCGGAGCTGTTATCACCCTGATATGGAAACAGCCCTGCCCCACTGCTCGGCGTGCTTTGGTAGCTGAGCGGTGCTGGAAGGTGTTAATAGGCAATCAAATGCTTTGAAATCTTACTTCGGCCTGAAATCCGAGGAGTTGGGAAGAGAAGGATTGCCTTTACAGCTGATAGCTCGCTGCAGTACTCAAAATTCAGAATAAGTCACGGAAGATCTCCTGGGGGTGTCGTTCAGAGATGCTAATAAATATTTAAGCCACTGTTTTCTGTTACTCAAGCCTGTAGCCTTTGTTAAGCATACATAACACATCAGCATTTTAAGGCCTAAATGCCTTTAAAAGGCAAACTGACAAAGTGGTAAATGAGGTGGAAGGAAGCTTTGCTTGTTCTGTCAGTGCATGGCAGACTGGGTGTGTGTCTCACTAAAGGCCAGTCGAATTTCACACAGGATAAAACTACTAGGATAATAATTGTTACTGTGTGCAGGCTGAGTTCTGCCAGGCTGTTTTGCTGATTTCTGGTGCAATAACCTCTTTCTTAGCCCTTGTCATTTTTTACTGTGTAATTTCTCAAGATACACAAACCTGTTCCCTTTTGGGGTGTTTCCCTTCATTTGCTTTCAGGAGGTTTTATGGTACCCTTAAAATCTCTTTTGTTCTTAACTTCAGGTGGAGTTTGAAAAGTCCCAAGTGAAGAAGTTTGAGAAGGAGCAGAAGAAGCTGTCGAGCCAGCTGGAGGAGGAAAGGGCACGCCACAAGCAACTGTCTTCCATGCTTGTTGTGGAGTGCAAGAAAGCCACTGCCAAAGCAGCTGAAGAGGGCCAGAAGACAGCAGAGCTGAGCTTGAAATTGGAAAAGGAGAAGAGTAAGGTGAGTAAACTGGAAGAGGAGCTGGCAGCCAAGAGGAAGCGAGGCTTGCAGATGGAAGCACAAGTAGAAAAGCAGCTCTCAGAGTTTGACATTGAAAGAGAGCAGCTGAAGGCTAAGCTGAACAGAGAAGAAAACCGTACAAAAGCACTCAAAGAAGAGGTGGAATGTCTGAAGAAAGCCCTGAAGGAGCTGGAGGCTTCCTGCCAGGAGCACGGTCCCCCCAAGGCCGTGCATCCCGGCCCCTCGGTGACGTCCAGGGGGGTCACAACTGACAGTCCCCCGGTGAAGTCAGTGTCCTGCCAGACCGAGGGCCTGCAGGCAGAGCGAGCAGCCCCTGCCAGCGCCAGCAGAGCTGCCCACGCCGCGTTCGCCAGCCCCTCTGCCCCTGCTCACTCCTGTGCAAAGTCCAACGGGCACTGTGACACGGACGGGCCGGCGGCTGGGCACACGAACGCTGCGCAGAGCCCGGCTCACAGGGAGAAGCCTGCCGCAGCCCCGGAGGGCGCCGTGGAGAACGGGAGCTCCCCTGCCAGAACAGAGTCCCCGGTGCAGCAGCTGCCCTCTGCCGGGGCGTCCCTGTCCCCCAGCAGCACGGCCGCCTCCTCCCTCACCCCGTCCCCCTGCTCCTCCCCGGTGCTGGCCAAGCGCCTGGCGGGAGCCTCTGCCGGCAGCCCCGGCTACCAGTCCTCCTACCAGGTGGGCATCAACCAGCGCTTCCACGCGGCCCGGCACAAGTTCCAGTGCCAGGCCGAGCAGGAGCAGCAGCCGGGGGGCCTGCAGAGCCCCCCGTCCCGGGACCTGTCCCCCACGCTGGCCGACAACTCGGCCGCCAAGCAGCTGGCGCGCAACACGGTGACGCAGGTGCTGTCCCGGTTCACCAGCCAGCAGGGCCCCGTCAAGCCCGTGTCCCCCAACAGCTCGCCCTTCGGCACGGACTACCGCAGCCTGGCCGGCGCCGGCGGCCCCAGGGCCGAGCCCGGGCACTGCCCCGGCCCCGCCAAGGTCTCCAGCCCGCTCAGCCCCCTGTCTCCGGGCATCAAGTCTCCCACCATTCCCCGGGCAGAGCGGGGCAACCCTCCGCCCATCCCGCCCAAGAAGCCCGGCCTGGCGCAGTCGCCCGCTGCCGCTGCCGCTCCCCTCGGCAAAGGCTCCTCCCTGGGTGCCCCCGTGGACGTGGCCAGCAGCTGCTCCGGCAGCTCCGTCGTGTCAAACGGCAAGGACCTGGAGATCCTCCTGCCAAGCAGCAGCTAGTCTCCAGAAAACGGGAATGTGACATTCCACAGCTTAGCTTACCCTGCAGCTAAGACGCTGTTTTTCCACTCCGTGTTATTTATTTCCATAGTAGCAGATTCTGTCTGTATAAAGCATTTAGTATATTTTTTTTTCCTTTTTAATAGGTAGGAAAATATTTTTGTTTATGAAGAAACCTTAACTACAGCTATACAGTAGCCTCCAAATGCCTCATGGCAGCATTCAAATCATTAGAGATAACAACCATAATCATGTGGTGGGACCTATCAATCTCTAATGGGACTGAAATGCTACTTTTAAATTATGCAGAAATAATTTTTGCAGACTTTTTATTCCAGATGAACATTTTATAAAAGTGCCTGAACTAAGCCTGCAATATGAATGTGATTCTCGGGAAAAGGTGAGGAGGGGAACATCTAGCTGCAGAAACAAATTCTTCTGAGTCCTGAATGTTGAAACCAACACTGGTTTTCCTTTTAATTCTTTCCGTTTGCTAAGGTAAGTCAGCAAATGTGCTACAGATTCTGCCAGGTGAGCACCAGAGTGGTGCAGCCAGCCAGGCTATGTCCTTCAGGACACAGCTCCCAGCTATTTGAGGAAGCACACAGGAGTTTCTTGGGATAAAATATAGTTATCATCCAGATTACTTCTCTGTCCATATAGCTCTTCCTGCTTTCCTGCCAAGGTGCCTGTGTGCTTTACATGGCTCAACTCTGGTTTCTGGTGTATCACCTGGAATTTTCAAGCTCTTCAAGCATTCTACTGTTGTGTGTAGAACTTCTGAGAAAAGGATCTTTCTGTTACTTGGCAAAGATCTCACTATTACTTGAAAAAGTAACTCATCCATCCAGTACAGGTTTTTTGCAACACCTGTAACATGGGATCTTCAACTTTAGACAAAAGCAATAATTTTGTTCCCCATCTGTGTCAGTTAAGTCTGACTGACCTGGATTTTACCCACTAGCTGTGGCTAGCTTTCCTTGGCTGCAAATATGGAACCAAATCATTGCTGCTGTGGAATTAAATATGTGGATATGTGTGCCACACACATACATGCTAAACACACAGTGTATTAGGGAAGTATTTATCTCTTCTCGATCTTCTGCCTCATATGAAGAAAACATGGCAATTCACTGAGATTTTAAAAAATTCCTCAGTGAGGAATCGCCTAAGTTTGAGGCAGATCTTGTGTGTGGAGAAGTATTTGGACCCAGGAGACGCAGGTGGTTCCTGTGCAGAAATATTTGCTGCAAGAGAACCAGCAGGCCCAGCACAGTGGTTTTCTGAGTCGCTGTGCTGAGAAGCCCAGGACAAACAGCACAGATCAGTGGCACAGGCTGCGAGCACGACCCCGCGTTAATGATCTCGGTGTTGGACCGGAGCTGATCCTAAATTTAGGAACTGGACTGGCTGCTCGGTGCCATCCAGCGTGGAGCCCTTCCCTGGGCAGCCCAGTGGTGTTTGCACGGCTCCCGGTGCCAGAGACAGTTATCCCTGGGGAATCCTCAGTGTTCCATCAGGCAGGGCCCCTCTGTGTGGGGAGGGTCCCTGTGCCATGGAGGGGCAGAGCTGCTCATGCAGGGAGGTTCCCATGCAGGGAGGTTCCTTTGGGCTCTGGGCCTTGGAGCTGTGCCATGGAGGGGCAGAGATGCCCATTGCAGTGAGGTTCCTCGGGGCTCTGAGCCTCTCTCTGCAGGACAGGGAGCTCTGTGCTGCTGGACTGACCCACACAGCCAGGGCAGGGCTTTAGGGCTTGCACAGACCTTTTGGGCAGTGCTATTACGGGCTGTTGTTGCTAATCCAGTGGAACGGTCTGTGCATTTACAGCAGGGACACAAAGGCAGCCGGAGCTGAATGGGCAGGGGCTCTTTTGGAAGCACATTTATTACTCTATTAACTAAGTGTCCGCAGCGGATTTTTTTGCTCTTGCTGAGAGTAAAAGTAAAAAAGGATGGGCAGGTGGATTTTGGCCCATGTATCCCTTCTGATTGAAAAGTGAGGCTTTTGTATACACTGCTTTAATGAGTTTCTTTACTTTTACATTATTCTGACTGGTATTATCCCCCTTCTTTATTGATAGCTCTAGAGAGAGAGATACTATGATGAAGTCTAATAGGAAATGCACTGAGTACTGTTTCTTCTAAAATACAATATGGGAAGGGGTATGCAAAAGAATGTATTTTTGCTAGTAGACTAACTTCTGAAAGAAACTAAGCACAAGGGATTAAAATGGATCCAACTAATTCAGTAAGACATTTAGAGTTAGTATTTAACTGTTGATGTAGATTCTGTGTGAAAGCAACTAAATATTTCTTCTCTAACTCACATGTGTCCTAAGCAGACATTGTTGCAGAGTTTGTCACTGACTAATGGAGTATAATGAAGTGCAAAACATATAACACTAGTATTAATTCATTAACACTTGTAAATTTGTAAAGCCAAATGTACCAAGCTGAAGTCTTTAATCATTTTTATAGCTGATGGCATTAAACATGTTAAACATTCATATTATCAATAAAGGATTTTATTTTTAAGATGTGCAAATTGCTTAAGGAAATGTTTGCGGTTGGGGCTGCCCAGCAGGAAACACTCCTGCTGTTGGTGACTGGGCATCTGTGCCCACCTGGGACCTGGAGCTTTAATGTGAGAAATGTGAGAAAAGGGAGAATTTCTTGTGAGCACAGTGGGTCCTGAGCAGTCTTGGCTGCTGCAGCCAGAGCACATTGCTCTCCATGCCCACACACCTGGGAGCTGGGAGGTGCCCCGGGGCAGCTTCAGGTGGCACAGCACACTGTGGGTGCTCCACACTGCTCTGCCTTTTGGTACTTGTAAGTAAAGGCAGTTTTCCTAGAGTACCTGTGCCACAGGATTCTGAATGGATGAGATTTATAATCATGAACACTTTGGGGCTTGGGGAAGGAGATGCCCCAGTGCCCTGCTGATGTTCAGGCAGGATGCATCTCACGGGAGCTCCCTCTGCAGCCGAGGAGCAGCTCGGGTGTGCCGCAGGACGGAGCTGGGAGCAGAGCCCGGCTGCAGGAGAAGCTGCTTGGCCCGGATGCAGCAGGTCCGTGCACAGAGCCCTCACCTGTGCCCGGGGCTGGGGCTGCTCCCGGTGCCCCCCTGCCCTCTGCAGGGCCCGGCCCGCCGCTCCCGAGCCGCCCTGGTGTGCCTCAGCGGTGACCCGGTTCCCTTATCTGTGCCTGCTCAGCGGAACAGGCCTGGCAGCGCTGGGGAGGAGCTCCCGGTTCATCTCTGCAGGCTGGATGCCATCCCCAGGCCGTGCCAGCGCCGGGCCCGGCCCAAAGCCGCCGAACGGGTGCGGCTCCCGTCCGAGCCCTGCCCGGGCAGGAACGGAGCTGCCGTGCTCGGCCACCGCCCCGCTGGCTTTTACAGCAGCGGTGTCAGTCCCTGCCCACGCGGGGAATGCTGGCAAACCCCTGGGGTGGCACCTCCGAGCCGGCTCCCCGTGCCCCCCATGCCGCGCTGCGAGCCGGGCACGGGCGTTCCCCGGCCCGGTTCCAGTGCTGGTGCTCCTCCGGGCAGCCTGGGGAAGGACGGGGAGCCCAGGACAGGGCACGGATGCCCATGGCAGCCCGGGAAGGGCTCGACCCGTGCCCGGTGCGCGGCGCAGCGGGGCCGCTGGAGGGCGACCGGCGCCCGGGAACGGGAACGAGAAGGGGAACGAGAAGGGGAACGGGCCGGGGCCGCTCCCCGCCCGGACCCGGCCCGGGCTGCTCCGTGCGAGACCGCTCTGGGCAGCGGCAGCGGCGCGGCCGGGACGGGACACGGGGCCCCGCGGCCAGGCTCCGCACGGAGGGGCGGATCCGGCACGGCGCATCCCTGCAGGACAACCCCATCGCAGGGCATCCCACACCGCGCCCCACCGCAGGGAATCCCTGCAGGACAGCCCCATCGCAGGGCATCCCTGCAGGACAGCCCCACCGCAGGGCATCCCACACCGCGCCCCACCGCAGGGCATCCCTGCAGGACAGCCCCACCGCAGGGCATCCCTGCAGGACAGCCCCATCGCAGGGCATCCCTGCAGGACAGCCCCACCGCAGGGCATCCCACACCGCGCCCCACCGCAGGGAATCCCTGCAGGACAGCCCCACCGCAGGGCATCCCTGCAGGACAGCCCCATCGCAGGGCATCCCTGCAGGACAGCCCCATCGCAGGGAATCCCGCACCGCGCCCCACCGCAGGGCATCCCTGCAGGACAGCCCCACCGCAGGGAATCCCTGCAGGACAGCCCCATCGCAGGGAATCCCGCACCGCGCACCCCACCGCAGGGAATCCCCGGCAAGCGGGGACCCACATTTCTGTCAGGAAAAGCCCCTTTGCCGTGGCGTGCCCTCAGCCCGAGCGCCAGCTCCGGCCCGCGGTGCCGGCGGACGCGGTTTGTTTGCACAGCGCGGCCCTGGCTCTCCCGTCCGCCGGCCAAGGAGGGCTTCAAGCGCTGAGTGTTGCTGTGAAGAGTTTTCAAAATGCTGCAGGTTCAGCACAAGCAAACATGCCGAGAGGCTGAGCTCTGCTCACCCCGCTTCCCTGCCCGCTAATGCCCCCGATAACCCCGGGGCACCGCCCGGCGCCGCGCTCGGCCCGGGACAGCCAGCCCGGGATAGCCAGCCCGGCCCCGCCAGCCCGGGACAGCCAGCCCGGTCTCCAGCAGCCGGTTAAACCACCTGGGAAAATCCCTCTCAGGGCTATCACCATCTCTTTCGGGGTGAAGACAGTGAAGGAAGCACAGAGGGCTAGGTCTGGAGGTTGTAACAACGCTTGTGCTTCGGCTGCAGCTCTCTGCTTCCAGTTCGTGCATGCTCCTGGCATGTTTTCCTGGGCACAAACTGGCCTGGTGCCCACGTGCCATGGGCAGAGACCCCTCCGGAGCCCCTGTGCTGCCCAGCAGTGCCCAGAGCTCCTGGCTTGTCCCTGCAGCCAGGTGCCAAAATGGGAAGGTGGTGCCGGATGGCTGTGAGCAGGTGCAGCTGCAAACCCCAGTAAACCACCAATAAACCCTGGTGACTGCAGGGTGAAGAGCGGGGTCTCCAGGGTGTCCTGCAGGAACAGCTGCCCACAGCCAGGTTTTGGCCCAGGGACAGCACTCGGGGTGTCTAATGCAAGGTCACACAAATGGGGACAGAATAGACCCGGACGGAGATACGGGCTGGCCGTGAGGGAGCAGCGGGCAGGGTCAGGGTCAGGGTCAGGGTCAGGGTCAGGGTCAGGGTTAGTGCCACTCTCTGCCCCACAGCCACTTGCTGGGATCCCCTTGTGTGCAGCCCGCCCAGACCACGCTGGGGCAGCCCGTCCTTCCCGGGCACAGACAGAGGGACAGCGGCCCTGCCACAGCTGCCTCTCGTCCGCAGGAGCCTCGCGGGCTGATCGCCCTCGGCCGGGTGATTAATCTTTTGTCGCAGAGGAACCGGGAGAAGCAGCAATTAATTAATAGCCCTGGCTGGGGCAGGAGCTCGGCTCTGCCGTCCCTGCGCAGGCTGTGCCGCGGCCGGGCACGGGCGCAGCGCTGATGTTCCCCGGGGAGCAGGGTCAGCGCTGTTTGACGAGGAGGAATCACCAGCGGGAGGATGTTTGTTTTTGTAGCGGCTGGATGTGTCTCGGGGAGGGATGGGAACGTCTCCTGTCACTCGTGGGCCGGGAGGGGGCTGGCAGGGCAGGGATAAAACTCCTGACAAGTTTGGACTAGCAGGCGAGTTGATTAGCTGAGAGATGAAAATTCACAGCTCGGCTCTTGCAGGGCCGTGAGCTGCCGGAGAGATGTTTATGCGAGGGGAGAGCCCCCCGTGCCCGCTGCCCCCGGCGCTGCTGAGCCGGCCGTGCCCGAGGGTCCGGGCAGTGCTGGGGTGGGCACCTCGGGGCAGCAGCGGGACCCAGGGCAAGGACAGCCAGGGATGGGCACAGCCACGAACAGCCACGGACGGGCACAGCCACGAACAGCCAGGGATGGGCACAGCCACGAACAGCCATGGACGGGCACAGCCACGCACACCCATGGGTGGGCACACCCATACTCATCCATGGATCCGCAGTGCTGGAAGCCGGAGCTGTGCGGGGACAGGCAGGGACAGGGGACAGGAGGGGACCTGGAGCAGCCTTGAGGGTGCCCCGGCTCCTCCACAGGCCACCATGGCCACCTGAACACCTCCACAGTGACCTGGACATGCCCCGTGTCCCACCCTGGCCCTGGGCACAGGGCTCTGGACACCAGGCACTGCCCCAGGCATTAATTTGAGGGGAGGGTGACAAAGAAAGCAAGTGCAGGCAGTGTCAGCTGAGAGCCCGGGCCGGGCCGTGTCTGATGGGACCGATTACCCGATGATAGACAGAGATAAATGTGTACAGCTGGAGGCAGAATAAATCGATGCTATATGTTGTATAATTGTCTTGAAAATAAGGTAATGCCGGGCTCTTGGAATGCTTTGATCTTATCAGAAAGACAAGGAATACGCTAATGGCTTTAATTAGACTTTGGGGATGAAATGAATTCGGCCTCCTGGGTGAGCTGTTTTCTGGAATTGACCACTGGTGGGGATAGAAAGGCTTTAATCAGATTTAGGCTCTTTAATACCCACAATAGTGTGTGTCTGCATGTGTGATACAGACCTGCTGCCCAGGGTGTTTTGGTGGGGGCTCTGAGGGCTGCATGTGCTTCTCTTCCATTGAGAGCTGTTTTCAGTGC